CCCTCCCTTGCTCCTTTCCCCTCCTTTCCACTAAGGCCCAATAAGGCCCATATACCTCCCGGGGGGTTCCGATAACCTCCCGGTGATTCGGTATTGTCCCAATCTCACCCGGAACCTTTCTGGTGTCCAAATATAGTCATCCAATATATCGATCTTTATGTCTCGACCATTTCGAGACTCCTCGTCAAGTCCATGATCACATCTAGGACTCCGAACAACCTTCGGTACATCAAAATATATAAACTCATAATGAAACTGTTATCGTAACGTTAAGCTTGCGGACCCTACGGGTTCGAGAACAATGTAGACATGACCGAGACACGTCTCCGGTCAATAACCAATAGCGGAACCTGGATGCTCGTATTGGCTCCTACATATTCTACGAAGATCTTTATCGGTCAGACCGTATAACAACATACGTTTGTTCCCTTTGTCATCGGTATGTTACTTGCCCGAGATTCGATCGTCGGTATCTCAATACCTAGTTCAATCTCGTTACCGGCAAGTCTCTTTACTCGTTTTGTAATACATCATCTTGCAACTAACTTATTAGTTGCACTGCTTGCAAGGCTTAAGTGATGTGCATTACCGAGAGGGCCCAAAGATACCTCTCCGACAATCGGAGTGACAAATCCTAATCTCGAAATACGCCAACCCAACATGTACCTTTGGAGACACCTGTAGAGAACCTTTATAATCACCCAGTTACGTTGTGACGTTTGGTAGCACACAAAGTGTTCCTCCGGTAAATGGGAGTTGCATAATCTCATAGTCATAGGAACATGTATAAGTCATGAAGAAAGCAATAGCAACATACTAAACGATCGGGTGCTAAGCTAATGGAATATGTCATGTCAATCACATCATTCTCCTAATGATGTGATCCTGTTAATCAAATGACAACTCATGTCTATAGTTAGGAAACATAACCATCTTTGATTAACGAGCTAGTCAAGTAGAGGCATACTAGTGACACTTTGTTTGTCTATGTATTCACACAAGTATTACGTTTCTGGTTAATACAATTCTAGCATGAATAATAAACATTTATCATGATATAAGGAAATAAATAATAACTTTATTATTGCCTCTATGGCATATTTCCTTCAAAAAATACAAATTGCATGACACTAATACTCTATTTTTCATAATGTGGAGATTAGGGCATCACTTATGGTGGGTAAATATGTCCGTCGTGACCGCCTCGCGGTGCACACACCACCGTCACCAGCTCACATCCCTCAGTCATTGAAGAATTTCATATCTACTAAGCCATGTTGCCAAGCAAAGAGTCGCCCTCGAACCAGAATTAAATTATCCGAACCTACTAGGAAGCTCACCCAAACAATGACCGAACATATTGCTTGCTTATTTTTACGCTGCATGAGAATGTATGGATTTCAGAATTTGGTATGAGGGACACGACTGTGGACGCGAAGAAATGAGGGGCTCACATATGATGTGTCTGGCTGTAGATGCTCTAACATTCATCACCTCCCAAAATAGAATTATCTCACTTTTGTGGAAGTTATGTTTTTAACCTGAAAGTTGTCGAAAGCGTGGAGCAAGAGCTTGAGGTTTTTAGATTTTTTTTCTAAAAAAAATTGTCCATAAAAATTGTGTCATTAGAGAACCACTGGATGGACAACCTATTAATGACCAATTGTGCTACCACCATGGTAATTAAATTCTTAGTGTTAACCCTCTCAACGAGAGTAACCCACATATCCACAATTTTACGGATTGGTTTTCTATGCAAGTTCCATAAGGATTTTAACTATACTCCAACCTTGTTTTAAGCCCCATTTATAACAAAGAAAAAACAAAGAAAGTTTGAAGAACCAAATTCCTACTAAGAAACTACAGTGATGTTTTGGAATAAGGGCTCATTTGATCCAAAGAAATTCTATAAGATTTTTGGAGGATTGAAATCCTTTGGAGTTTTTCCTATGTTGGTCATTCGATTCATAGGATTGGATTCCATAGTAATTTTTCCTATTGAGTGTTCGTACTACATTTCATTGAAAATCTAACATCCACTACATCTCTTTTTACAATTCTTTTGTTTTTCCCGTGGCATCAAACACATTGCTAATCCTATTGAAGTGGATATGCCACTTCAGTCCTATAATTTTCTTATTCATGTATTTTCATAATCCTATGGATCAAATAGGACCTCTTTGATTCACAGGATTCTGAAAATGCGGGAGTAGGAAAAAGTATGATTGGAATGTCATGCTCATCTCAATCCTACATGATTTGGGTTGTTTGATTGCATCATAGGAAAACAAATTATTCTTTTAAAGTGGTTTGAGTGGATGCTGGAAATCCTATGAGAAGTAGTACAAAAATATTCTTAGGAAAAATTCCTATAGGATTTGAATCAAAGGAGCCCTAAGAATCCTACGGAATGGGACAATCCATAGAAATATTGTAATTCCTACGGAGTGGGACAATAGGGGAGACATGATCCTCATGTGTTTTCCTCTTCCGCATCGGAAAAGGCTTCACGCCCCGCTTATAGATAAAGCAACGTCAATATAGACAAACCGATCAAGCGGATGTCCACAAAACAAAAACAAGGAAAACAAGAGGAGAGAATGAAGTCTCGGTTGTGGGCACAACAACACATAAGCCCCAGCAAAATAAAAGATACATCCTCAAGGGGAATTGATGTCGCTTGAAGCTACGTCGGTATTTTCCCAAAGAGGAAAGGATGATGCAGCACAACGGCGGTAGGTATTTCCCTTAGATATGAAACCAAGATTATCGAACCAGTAGGAGAACCAAGCAACACAACATAAACAGCACCTGCAGACAAATAATAAATACTCGCAACCCGACGTGTAAAAGGGATTGTCAATCCCTTTCGGATAACGATGCCACAAATTGGCAAACGGACGTGAGAGAGTTGTAAATATTGATAGATCGAACACCAAATAAAATAAATTGCAGCAAGGTATTTTTGTATTTTTGGTTTAGTAGATCTGAAAATAAAAGGCAAATAAAATAGATTGTGAAAGCAAATAATATGAGAAAGAGACCCGGGGGCCGTAAGTTTCACTAGTGGCTTCTCTCGAGTAAAATAGCAAACGGTGGGTAAACAAATTACTGTTGGGCAATTGATAGAACTTCAAATAATCATGATGATATCCAGGCAATGATCATTAATACATAGGCATCACGTCCAAGATTAGTAGACCAACTCCTGCATGCATCTACTACTATTACTCCACACACCGACCGCTATCCAGCATGCATCTAGTGTATTAAATTCATGGGGAAACGGAGTAATGCAATAAGAACGATGACATGATGTAGACAGGATCTATTTATGTAGAGATAGACTCCATTGTTTTATCCTTAGTAGCAACGATACATACGTGTTGGTTCCCCTTCTGTCACTGGGATCAAGCATCGTAAGACCAAACCCACTACAAAGCACCTCTTCCCATTGCAAGATAAATAGATCAAATTGGCCAAACAAAACCCAAATATCGGAGAAGAAATATGAGGCTATAAGCAATCATGCATATAAGAGATCAAAGAAACTCAAATAACTTTCATAGATATAAAAAGATAGATCCGATCATAAACTCAAAGTTCATCCGATCCCAACAAAAACACCGCAAAAAGAGTTACATCATATGGATCTCCAAGAGACTATTGTATTGAGAATCAAACGACGGAGAGGAAGTCATCTAGCTTTCAACTACGGACCCGAAGGTCTACAAAGAACTACTCACGCATCATCGGAGAGGCACCAATGGAAGTGGTGAACCCCTCCGTGATGGTGTCTAGATTGGATATGGTGATTTTGGACTATGCGGCGGCTGAAATTGATTTTCGTCGACTCTCCTAGGGTTTCTGAAATATTGGGGTATTTATAGAGCAAAGAGGCGGTCCGGGGGGCACCCGAGGCGGACACAACCCACCAGGCCGCGCCTGGGCCTCCAGGCGCGCCCTAGTGGGCTGTGCTCCCTTCAGAGCACCCCCCAGGCGCTGCCTTGGCCCATTAGGTGTCTTCTGGTCGATAAAAAATCTCCGTAAAGTTTCGCTGCATTTGGACTCCGTTTGGTATTGATTTTCTGCGATGTAAAAAACATGCAGAAAACAACAACTGACACTTGGCACTATGTCAATAGGTTAGTACCAGAAAATGATATAAAATAATTATAAAACATTCAAGATTGATAATATAACAGCATGAAACAATCAAAAATTATAAATACGTTGAAGACGTATCAGGGATAGGTGCCCATCAGGCGGTGAGCCGCTAGTTCCTTATATCTCCTTGTCAATTGGTCCACCGCCGCTCTATCCCGCCGCTTGGACAAGGGCCTCCATGGTTGAAAGAATTCAGACATTTTATAGATAGCATCGGTGGCCATGTTAGGAAATGTATGCTCAATCACAAGCTTATTCCTAATACACCATAGCGACCATGCCAAGATACCAAAATTGACCCATGTCAATCTACGAACCTGGCCCGAGCATCCAGACAAGAGCTGGAAGAACTCAGGGAAGTTAGTTGGGCACCGCCCATTGTCCCACATCTCCGAACGGCGGTTTTAGTGTATCCATATGCTCTGAAATTCGGTAGGAATTCAGATTACACGACATCTGAATTCCTCCAATGTTTCTATATCATTTTTTGAGTCCTGTGTTCCAAGCTGGGTCTTATGTTTGTTTGCGGAAATTCAAGTAAAAAAAAGTCTATGTACTACCAATCTTTTCTCGTTTCTACAGTTCTGTAACTAAATTTCGTTCAAATTTCCATATTCCTCATTTCTTGTGGTTGCCATTGGCCGAGCCAATATAACATTCAATGGCAGTATTCAATTCTTTACTGAAACCTCTCCAACCAGCAGTAAATGGGCTCACTACCAGCCAGGCCCCACTTCTTCTCCCTCCTCTCTATAAAGCAAGCAAAACAAACAGAGCAGGGCAGAAGCGGCAAGACCACCACGACCCACCCTTCCGTGAAACGCGGCAGCGCAATGTCTCCCCTGCACCCTCCCCACCTGCATTTCCGCAAGCTCAAGAAGCGCGCGCGCGCCGCCATCGGCAGCGGCAGCGGCAGCCACCGCCCCGCCACCAAGGCCAGGAAGGGCCTCGCCGCCATCCTGCACAAGCTCCGCGACGTGCACCGCCCGCCGTCATCGCCGCCCTCGCCATCTCCGTCGCCGTCGACCCCGCACCACCGGCAGCTCTGCTACCCGCCGCCCCCGTCCACGTGGCCGTGGCCGTCGTGCCGTCACCCACGCACCAGCTCATTCCGCGCGCGCCCGGAGGATGCCGCGGCCGTCGTGTACCGGACCGCGAACACAGTGTACGACACACCGTCGGAGCACTTCATGCGGCGCCCGTCCCTGGATGAAGCGTCGTGCAGTGGCCGGAACTCCTTCGCCGTGTCGGTACAGGCTGCCGTGGATCGAGAGCCGGAGGCGGAGGAGAGAAAGGAGCTGCGGCTGCGTGAGACAGCCGTCGTGCGCGGCGTGCGGTCGGAACGGCTCTTCTTCGAGCCGGCCGGCGCAGAGTTCTTCTCGCCCACGCAGGTAATGCATCGTATGCCTTGTAGTATTACTATCTGAGCGGATGAATGATAATGATACCAGTTGAAGCACTGTTAAGTGTTAACACGAGAGATATTTCAGGCGGAGACGCTGGGCAAGACCGAAGACATCACCACGGACGCGGCCGCCGAGGACGAAGAAGCGACCACCGTGCCGGCCGGCAAGACCGAGCAGAAGCCGGCAGATTACTCCGAGCTGAAGGCTGGCGCGGTGGTGGTATCAATGGAGTCGGAGGATCCGTACGGCGACTTCCGGGCGTCCATGGCGGAGATGGTGGCGGCGCACGGTCTGCGGGACTGGGAGGGCCTGGAGGAGCTCCTGGCGTGGTACCTCAAGCTCAACGCCAAGGGCGTCCACGGCGTCATAGTGGGCGCCTTCGTGGACCTGCTCGTGAGCCTGGCGACCCCGCCGAGTCCGTCGCTGCCGTCGCAGTCGCCGTCGTCGTCGTGCATTACGTTCGAGGATTACTCGTCGGCCACCTTCGACGACGAAGAGAAGTGCTGATCAGGAACTCGTTTTGATTTCTTCTTCTTTTTTTAGTCTCGTCCAGAGTCAGAACTCAGAAGAGAGTTTTTGTTGAATATTTGTGAGCTGGTGCGAGGTATGGAATGATTGTACAGTTGCCAAAACTAATCGATGCTGACCCGGTACTCCATTATAACGTAGTATATTTGTTGCTGAGATGATTCATTGACCATACTTGCATATTCTTTATTATTATTATTTTCTTGCTGTGTTCTCTCTGTTGCTAGCCTGCGTGTTCATGGATTGTAAAGTGAGCCAACTCTGATTAACCCTTGACATATTCATGGCGGTTAGTAGCTGTGGTTGCTTCACAGAATTTTGGCGCCAAGAGCTGCGTCTCCAGCTTTCTTGAGTAGGTCCGGACGAAAAACGAGTCAAACCATTGCCCCTTGTGATGCAATGGATCGGACACCATAGGGTTCAAAGGATTGGATCCGGTTTCCCTTTAATGCACGCCTCACCAGCTGCTCATAAATATGTGAGGTTTATGTCCTTTGAATGCACTAGCCAGCGACAGATGACACTCCATCCGCGCATTGTATGCTTGCCCAGATGCAAAACATCCGTCCTTCTGGACATTTACATCGTTTTTATGGTACTATTTGACCGCTAGTAATTCCCACCGTAATTGTTGCATGACGAAATTAGAAATGGTTTTGCTAAATTTCAGCTGTGAAAATTTAGCAACTCTCAATCACTTCAATTTAGTAAATTTGGTTCATATGATAGAAATATCATAGGAATAGAAAAAATCATAGAAAATGAAATGACATGTATCTCGATTCTTATAGGAAAAGAGATGTCATTTGATAAATAAGATATAAATTTTTCATTGGCTCTAGGCTAATGGCTTTTTTATTTTAAATGTGAAAGATTGGTTCCTATCCTACATAGAAATAGGAATCAAATTTGCAAAATAAAAATAAAAATATGAATCAATTCCTACAAACCAAAAGCCTCCAAATGATTCTTTTCTACAAAATTCCTATCCTTTAGAATCATACAAATTTCTTCTAAATCAAAGAAGGCCTAAAAGTGTGTAACTTTACCAGAATATTGTAGCATTTGGAATTTTGGATTGTAGGCTATGTATGTAGGGTGTGTTTGATTGGGGGATAAAGTGGAATGGAATGTCACGGTTCCATTCCATCAGAATTGGTTGGTATCGTTCCTGTGTTTGGTTGAGGACGATGAGCGGAATGGAATGGTGATAGTTCAATGTTTGGTTGGCGAGATGAAATGTAATGGATTTGGTTCTCCTCATATTTCTTGGTGAGATTACCTCTCAAATGTGTATATATAATAAGAACAATTATAGCTTTATATGTTTAATAACAAATTACATGACATTTCAAGTGTACTAGAGGCTAACGCGTTGTTCGCCATGTTATTCTTCACTTGTGGGATCGCCTTTTTTCTCTAACAGATTATTATAGTCGACTATTTCATTTTTGTTTTATCTGTCTTGCCGTGGGTTTTTGTTATGTTTTGGTGGTGCATTTTTTTTATATATCTTATTGAGGGTGCTGCCAGAGACAATATTTTTTATGAGAAAAAAGTGGAGTTGTTCGGTGCATAGTTGTCGTGTCCTTACACAAATTCGGCCTAAGTGTTAGCCAATGGTCATTGTGTGAACCTCTTGGGAGCTCCTATTCAATCTTGAAACTGCGGAATTGCTACTATAACATTTACATGGGCCTGCTCCACTCATTCGGTTAGCATTTTTTAGCTCGCTCCACTACTATCTTGTAAAAAGTTGAGGAAGTGAAAGAGGTTCACCGCCGAGATATCTTTTTTAACAAGCTCATTAAATAAAAAGATGTTCGCGAATCTAAAACAATTTGCAAAAAATGTTACAAAATTTTAAAACTATAGTTTGGGAATTTTAAAAACATTCTTGGATTTTAAAAATATTCAAAATTTTGGAATAAAGTTTGCAAATTAATAATTGTTCACGAACTCTAAACATGTTCTTGAACTTTTAGAATATTCATGAATTTTAAAAATGTTCATGAATTTTAAAAATATTAACAATATTATTAAATGTTCGCCAATTTTAAAAAATATTCATGAATTAAAAAGTGTAAAAGGGGGAAAAACAACAAAAGAAAAATAATAAAAAGAAAAAACAAACAAGAATTCTTAACCAACAACATCCTTATAGGCAGCCCCAGCTACCCCACAACCGCTACGCACAAGCATGATCCAAATCTAGGGAGGTTAGACCAACTCTAGCTGATTTCTAAATAATGGAGAAGGATCCGACCGAGTAAAGTTAGTGAAGTAAACTTTTACTCCTCTATATATAGACGCACCTAGTCGATCCTCTAAACTTAGTGGAGGAAAAAAATTGCATTGTTTTTTTCCTAGCCGCATGAACTCAAACACTTCATAATATATATCATAAAAACATTCAAATTAAGCGATGCATAACATAACCATGAACAAGCATATAGTTTCATCATCATGATTTTCAAATTTAAACATGCATAGTTCATCCAAAAGGCACCACTTCAAATACAAAGTTTGATCCAAAATCACGACAAACATAATATGTGTACGTTATGGATCAAGCCCACCAATGACATGGATGAACTCAAACAAACTACTCGCCGAAGAAATCATCTTCACCACCACCACCACTATCCTCTCGTCCACCGTCACCACTACTACCACCACCATTTTGAAGAGAGCCTTCCGTTTGGGTCAAGATCTCCACACGAGTGAGCTCCCAGTACTTTCTTGCGGTTTCATCCATTGTGGTTGGATTCATGAACATGATAGCACGATCTTCGGCTTTCTTGGCATCACGAAGCCTTTCCTCCTCAACTGCAAGTCTACCCTCCCCCGTCTTCAACTTTCTCTCTTCGTCCACCAACTTGGCATTTCATTTATCATCCTTCAACATCTTGAGCTCATTCACCTTGCCATCTTCTCTTCTTTGTGTTTGGCCGCCAACACCTTCTTGGCCTCAATCATGGCCACAAGTTCTTTATGTGTGCCACCATATGCATTTCTCTATTTCCTCTCTTTTGCAATTTTGTTTTCTTCCGGTCTATTGTTGGCCTCTTCATCCACCTCATCGTCCCAACGCATATGCTCAACCTTGATCTCTTTGGAGTGGTCTCCGCAACTCTCTTGATCCACTTCTCGTTTTCGCATAGCTCTTTGTAGCAATGATGCAAATATGAAGGGCTTGTGGCCGTCTTGTTCCTATGCTTGAAAATTTCTTGGATGTACGGGCCATACTCCATGACTTGCACACCGCTCGGCGGTGCATGATTCACTTGGTTGATGCAACTAGACCATCGGTTGCATCAGTCGTGAATGGTGCCCTAATGATGCCCAAGAGAGCCTTATCTACGCCTTGATGTCACCTCCATGGAGTTGTTGTAGTAATATGTAGTTCTCTCCCAAAACATAGCCCTATGCACTTGCAGGAAATCAATCAGTGACTCGTGTGCATATGTGCGTATTTTGCCCGAGTATGCGCTAGCTAGACGACGAGTATGTGTGCATTGCATCAACTTCTACGTTGTCGCCGCTTCCTACCTCCGCACATGCTGCTCTCCGTGATCCTCGGTGGCCTGCGGCTATGCAAGAGAAATTTGATGCCTTATTGCGGAACCAGACGTGGCAGCTTGTCCCTCGTCCGCCACATTCCAATGTTATCTACAACAAGTGGGTGCTTTGTCATAAGCTCCACCCCGATGGCACACTCAAGCGTTCTAAAACTCGTTAGGTGGTGCGAGGCTTAAGGCAGCGTGCAGGCGTTAACTTCACCAACACCTTTGCTCTAGTTGTAAAACCGGGCACGATCTAGAATCCTCTAGCTCACGGCATCTCGGGCATGGCCAGTTCAGCACATGATCATCTCCAACGCCTTCCTTCATGCTCATCTTCATGAGCATGTCTATTGCCAACAGCCCACCGGCTTCATCGATGATGCACATCCCGATCATGTCTTCTTGCTCTCATGCTCCTTGTAAGGGCATAAGTAGGCGCCGCGTGCTTGGTACTAGCACATCTTGGCTTTTCTTCATTAGCTCGGGTTTTGCTCCACATACTTGGATGGCTCGTTGTTCGTATACAACCATGGTGCTGACACAACCTACCTGCTCCTCTATGTCGACGACATCATCATGACAACCTACACCACCGACCTCCTTCGACGACTCACTGAGCGCATGAGTGCCGAGTTCGCCATCAAGGACTTGGGGCCGCTCCACTACATCCTCGGCATCAAGGTGGTACGCCGTGTGGACGGCTTCTTCCTCCACCAGCGGAAGTATGCTCATGAGCTCCTTGACCGTGTTGGCATGCTTACTTGCAAGCTCGCGGCTACACCAGTGGATATGAAGGCCAAGCTCTCCGCCATAGACGGATCTCTAGCTGCACATGCTTCCTTCTACTAGTCCATTGTTGGTGCGCTGCAGTAGTTGACGCTCACTTCTCTCGAGTTACAGTACGCTGTCTAGCAGGTGTGCCTTCACATGCATGCTCTTCGCGATGCTCATTGGTCCTCGGTGAAGCGGATTCTGTGGTACATTCGTGGTCATATGGATCTCAGCATCACTCTGCCCGCATGGCCCTCCACCGACATCATATTACTCGGATGCTGACTGGGCTGGATGTCCGGACACTCGTCGCTCTACGTGTGGATACTGTGTGTTCCTCGGACCATCACTCATATCATGGTCACCCAAGCGACAACCCACATTTTCATGGTCCAGTGCTAAGGCGGAGTATCGTGGCGTGGCCAACGCTGTTGCTGAGTGCGCATGGCTTCGACAACTTCTCCACGAGCTTTGTCACCCCATTTCACAGAGCCATGATCGTCTACTGTGACAACGTCTCCGCCGTTTACCTCTCCGCCAACCCGGTCCATCATCGTCGCACCAAGCACATCGAGTTGGATATTTATTTTGTTCGCGAACATGTCGCTCTTGGGAAGGTTCGAGTACTTCACGTTCTCATGA